TATATATATATATATAATTTTTTTAACACACACCCAAATGCTTGCACATTTTATATGCAAGGCCTTGAACCCACGACCTTTTGGTGGAATGACAAAACTCTTAACAACTAGCCCAAAGTGGCTTGCATTAAAAAAAGCACATTAGGTTGATTATACATTAAATTTTGACTTATGGGTAGAGTTTTTATGCACAACTTCATTCTTCCTATGCACTACATATGAACTGGAATCCAACCATCCATAGGAGAATTAAAAATTACCTTGAGTGCCATATATAAGTGAATGTTTATAGTCTAAATATTTGTTTAATTTCCTTTTTCTCTTCTTGAAATGGTCAGCATATTGAGGAACATCAATTACTACAAAATCTGTTTTTATCTCACCAAATTTTTTGAGTTCCAGTTTAATTGCACCAGTTAATGCAAGGCCACTAGTGCATTAACAATTGAAAATAAGTAAATGCTTACGTCTGTAAAGGGATCATTGCTTCCAAAGTTCCATTTGGTCCATTACAAGTTGTTATCTGGATTGAACATTGATAATCAAATAACGTTGGCATCAATGCTCAAAAAATTTGATTGGGCTGATTGGTTCAATAGGCTTGACTGTGAACTGGGTGTATGACATGCCTGATCAGTCTCAAAAATCATTTTTTCATTAAACCTGTGAAAATAAGTGCAACTCATTAACTGGTTTCGTTTCTATAGAATTGACTAGTCCAGATGACTATTTTAATCAACTTTAAATCTTAATATGGTTAAAATTAAAAATTTAATAAAGTTAAATGTGTAATTATGAATATAAAAATCTTAATCTAATTCACATGAGTTAAGCAAGCTAATCCATAACATGGCCACCACCCAAGTGAGTTATAAGCTTAGCTATGAATTTTCATCATAGAAATTGTGCAATACTAACTCACCCATACAATGTGGGATTAAAAACAACTACGAGTATTTTGAAATTGATAGTCTTGTTGACTCCAGTACTTATAAGATGGATGATTGAATTGCTTTGGAATAAATCCAGTTTCATCGACTCTAGTCTTTGCAAGGAGGAGAATTGGATTAATTGAAATGAAACTTATGACCTGTCACTGTAGACAAGGTGATTTGCATGCGAATTTGTATAATTTGACATTTCAAATCTTAATTTTGAAAAAAAATAGATTTTATAAAATTTTAAAAAATTCATGCATTTCTCGAGATGGATTACACTTTAATTTAAAATTATGTCTGGCACGTGCAATATTTTTAGAAACTTAAGTTTGATTGTTTAGGACAACCGACGAGCACATGCAAATTTTAATTTGATAGTGTGCAAACCTCTCAAGAAGAAACTATTTGAAATTTTAACACTACTAGCACAACATTTTTAGACATTTAAATTTAAATATTTAACCAGAGCAATGGAGCACATGCAAGTCTTTTTCAATTAATAAATTTGAATATTTCAAAGAATTTGATACTCTTTTTTGTGGCAAAACAAATTTAGAGTACACCTTGTTTTTAGCCCTTACAAAATTGTCTGACCGTGTATTCAAACGTTGAACATGATGGTCGGAGTACATGCGGGCTATTGGTTTTAATGACTTGCATGCATCTTGGTACATACCCTAAAAATGATTGAAGCATTAGATCACTTTAATATTGATTTTGTATTTGTTATTTACAATTCAAAATATCTCTTATCTCTTAGCAAACTATCATACTTGTTATGGCAATAAAAAAAAACATTAAAATTATTCCCAAAATCCATTTTTAAATCAACTCGTAATCCCAATAACTAGAAAATTATATGTTAGCGACTTCGTGCTTGTTATTGGGTAAATTGGGTAACGTTGGGATTTAACTTGAAATCGGGCAATGTTGGGACCTAACTTGCTCATATTAGGTTGTGTCTGATGTTCAATCTAGCATAGTTCTTGAGAAATATCCAAAAAGTTATTGTCATGAAGTTCTTATTAACCTAATAACTCATTAATTTATAATAGAATAATGGCAGTAATTATAAAGTTCTATATAAACTACTCAATGAACCAATTAAAATCAAAATTAAGCTAAATTTTATCAAGTATAAAAATACATAACTAACCATAATTAACACTTAACAACTTTAAGGATATAAATAGGTAAATTTAGTGAATTGTATGGAGCATAATTTACTAAAACAAAAAGGGCATAATTAAGGAATCTTAATCAAATTATCATAAAGTTTATTTTCCTTAACTAAAAAATTAATAAAGGAAATAACATAATTGTCCGCATTAGCAAATTAATGAATATAATGGGAAAATTTTTATTGCATAAATTCACTAAAGCACTTGGGTGATCAAATTGATAATGATGAACAAATTAAGTGCACAACTCTAATATTATGATTGATAAAACAATTTTTCTACTTTTAATAAATAGTGAATAGATAAAGAAAATGAAAATTCAAACCGAAAAAAAATATAAAAATTGTGAAATAAATTTTGCAATCTATATATTTTTAATAAATATAAATTTACAAATAAATAAATAAATAAAGAGAACGAGGGACCATTTAGGACGGCTATAACTATCTTTAAAGGTAACCATATCATTATTATGAGAATAAAATGTTTTTGTTAAAGCTAATTCAAGCATTACACACTTTTTCTTTTGAAAAAGTCATATGGTAATTCTCTTATTGTCATTACACTATAAGTCTAATTTTGAAAAAGAAATAAATTTCTAAAAAACAATAAGAGTTTTGTAGTCATCACAATTATTTCATCTTTCTAGAAAACAAAACTATGAAACGATTGCCTTAAACAATCCTCTAATTAATTTTAAGTTTGTGCTCATCATCTTTGAGATCTTGGTAAATCTTGATCAATTTACTATGAATAGTCTAAACACTCGCATGTGTTAAATGACTATGGATAGGCCTTTTTCCACTCAAGATGAATTATCCTTTAGAGTCTATCTCCGATTTACTCAGTCGCCAAGCTAATCTAGTGAATGTTATCGATTCTCCTCCTATTTACTATTATATTGAATTGCTTGCAGAAATATTTAGCAAATTATTAGATGACAACATACAATGTTTGTTATTATCAAATCAATAATAATCCACATAAGAGTAACCTATACTCTTATGCTTAGTAGAGCAGACTCTATTTCCTCTTATATTGAAGATACTTTTTTCAAGCGAGGTAAACTTAACCCAAAAATCTTGCTTAAATCAAGGTTTCTTTCTCAGACAACTCTTGATGTCCTTTTCCTTATAGTTTAATCACCTCATGGTAAATGATTATTTTTTGGGGCATAGCTAGTGCGTTAAATTTTTTAGTTACACTATTGTTTTACAACAAAAAGTATGCTACAACATGAAAGCTATTTAAACTTTGCATGCTTTGCGTCATTCCCTTTTTCGGCTTTAACCCTATTTGTTCTTCGTGACTGAATTTGCTATGTCATGACTCTGAGCCATCTTTAGTCCCATCCAATACCTCTAAACAATGTTGACCATACATCATATTTTTGGACCATTTCATTAAGATTCTACCATGATAGTTTTGAACTATCTTCTGTCATTCATAATATCCATGAACCACGATCGGTCACACATTATGCCTTTGGGACTTTTTAAATTCAAATTGATTCTCATATTTAATCATTAAAAGATGTGTTTCTTGGCACATGGATACTCATATCCATTTGATATATTTAAGGGGAGGCAACTCATAGTTGATAATTAGGCTTCTAATTGCCCAGGTGTGTGAGAAGTCATGAATGCGGGAGCGGCGGAATGACGCGAGAATGAGCATTTGGACGCACAGGAGATCTTGTATGTTTTGGAATGACAGGACCGAGCCGATCTTGCCTTGGGAGGCCGATCAACTCTTTCACGAGGGATTGACGCCTCATTTCCACAAAGGGAGCCAATCCTAATTATCTTTTGCTTACATATGGGCTTCCTTTGTCTTATAATTTCAGTTTTTGCTTGTGTTTCTGCTAGGATAGTTGTCGACGTCTCTTGTTTTCCCTTCTAGGGTTGTATTCGAGATTTAGTGGTGTTCCTGCTATATCTCGTTATGAGGTGGTTATTCACTTCCAAAGGTCAAGTAGTGCTCTGATTGTATCTCGCTCCTGAGGTGTTGTTTATTCTTCCCCTACTTCTCCGGATCCCTCTCCCTTCGTTGCCTCACTTTTCTCACTGCAACCGCCCCTACAACCACTTCACTTGTTGTTTTCTTGTAGCTCCTGCTTTCTTAACCGCCCCTTCCTTGCTCCCAGTCACCCATAATCCTTCCTCTTGTTTCCTTGTTACTTTTTCAACTACTAGAATCATCTGTGTTGCTATTCCAACAACCATCCCTCTTTCCGCTTCCTAGCTTCCAGCTGCCCATAATCATTCTTCCGACATCCCTGTTGCTATCCCAGACACCCAGAACCATCCCCCTTGCCACCACCTTGCTGCCAGCCGCCCAAAATTATTCTTCATGCAACCCTACTGCTGTGACAGCCGCCATAATCCTCCTCGCGGCTGTTCTAACCACTCTAGACTACCTCTAACCACTGTTCCTTCATTGTCCAGCCCACCTACCA